GGAGTGTGAGCAGGGTAATATTTAGTGAAGGGATTCAGGGAAACGGGCTTTTTATAGCCGACTTGAATCCTGGAATGGAAGTACAATGCCTGCATTTAAAGGAGGGTTTAGGGTATGGCAGTTTGGAGGGATATGTTGTGTTCTCATACTATATACTTTAAACTGTTGTATTCTACCTCTGCGAAGACTAGAGACACAACACATTGTTAGACTTGCCGACACACATAATGCTCTTTTCTATCATGTTAAAATACGGTCATCCTACGACTGTTTTTTTTGCTAAACTGGGCTAGCCTTCTTAGCTTCATAGACGGGCCGTCTTGTTGAAGCGTCCCTTATACACAACTTTCCTAATATGAATATTAGTCCTGGATATGTCTCTGTAGATGCCTTCCTTTCTCATTTCATTGTTCATCCTTCAAACTTCAGAATACTCGTAACTTAACCTGATCTTTTCTTCTCGTCCTCCTCTCCCCACTTCTTCTCCTTTCCCATATTTTCTTTGTGTTCCTTCTGCGGAGGTGTTTTCTGTCCTTCAGTTTCCCCCTTCCCCTGTGTTTTTGGCCCCACCCTTGTGGGCAATTAGCTCTCCTGCAGTGTTCCTTTTCCCTTTCCTTTGACTTACTCCACTTCTACTACTACTCCATTACTACCTGTCCATTACTGCCACTCCATTACTACTCCTCCATTAATACAACTACTACCAATATTGCCTCACTCCTCTTTCTGTCTCATGCTATTAGTACTACTACTCTCAATTCCAACATTACCTCTACCATTACTTTTCCACCTCTTTCTTCCTCCCGTTTCTGTCCCTCTCTCCGATATATATACTGGCCCCCTCAGCTTTGTGCGTTAGTGTGACTTGTAAATGGTCCAAGTCGGACCGAAACATCGTTATAAACTGCCCTATGTGCGAGTTATTTGTGTATTGTTGTAGTTACGGTATTGTGCCTTTTGGTTCTTAATTGGGAAACCTGCGAGGAGCTCAATAACAAGATTGCAGCAGGTGTGTACTACTTGTTGCAGACGGCAGACAGACCGGAAGCAGCGACCACCTCATCAAGGAGTACTGGAGAAAGTGTACACACAAGTAAAGGAGATCAAGCATTGATTGTAAGCGACGTTTCATCATGACTTACCTACATCAAGCCTGTACAGTGATCGTAGTCTTTATCAAGATTCGATAAAACTTAATGTTGAGCGAAACATCGTGTACACGTGTGTTTACACCCACTTGTCGGTTTGTTGCCCCATTCACCAGGTACTGAGGCACATACTACAGACATGCTGTAAAGAGGTAGGGATGGGACGAAACCAATTTTTTTTCCTTAACCGATACCGATACTTAACTTTAGGTCAGTACCGATACCGATACTCTGAAATGTCCCTATAAAAATGTAACAGAAAAACTAGTTATGTGAATGGTCCAAGGCTCTTCCACGTACTACCAACAGAAGATATCACAAACACTGAAAGAAAGAAGGAGTTTTCAAGCAGATGAACCGCTTCCTTCTACAAATACTGGATCGGAGGGGTTGTGATGTGTGTGTGTCTGTCCTGAAGGCTGCTAGCAGAAACAGCCTGGTTAATCAGGCGATGAACAGGAAAGCTTGGCCTCAGGCCGGGCCTGCGGAGGTAAAAGAGTTCTCTAAAGCGTTCACAGATAATACACGGATAATGATGTAATGTATGCAACACCTATAACTTTGTATTAGACATTTCGTTCTCTGGGAGCCTGATCACTCCTTATTAGTAATAAAAGGTCCTAAGCGGGTGAAGAGTCTCCGACTAAAATGCCCTCTCAGTGTTACATACATGTCCTCCACCGTCATTTTCTGCACCATAAATGACAGAATTAGAATACATGTTAAGGATCAAGAAGCTTCCCAGCAGCGTTAACTAAAGTTAAACCAGATCTCAGGACTTTGAAGAATTCAGTATTAACAATAAACTGAGTTTGCAGAGTTCTGCCATGGCAGGTCAGCCTGAGACTTGGCTTCCCTGATGATTGCCAGCCGAAAAAAACACCACAGCCTAGTTGATCATACATCTCCTGCAGGTACTTGTCTAGTTCCCTCTCGAAGAGTTCTACTCTGCTGAGGCAAACTTCACGTATCTACTGGCAGAAGACGAATGTTGACAGTCTTCTCCCTGCTTTTAGCATCTCTCCTTGATGTTCACATTATTTCACAATGCCTCCTGTCTCTCTCTTCCTGGAATGAGAGATACGGGAGAAATTGTTCCACAAGTCATTCTGTATCTTTCACTCTAGTAATTTTTAAGTGTGCAGATTCCAGACCTGCCTTAGAGATATGACATGTGTATATTATGAGGTTCGCCTCATTTTCGTTGAAGCGAATATATTCTGAGTGTTACAGGTGGTCCTAGAAGTTCAGCAAGGGGCAAAAAATATTTACCAGATATTTTTCATTTTCAGTTTTCCAATATAAGGACTAACGTAGTGAAATGTCATTGAACTTTTAGCATATTTAATATAAAGAGCATGACCAAGGCTGTCAAGAATATCATCCTCAAAGGATATCCAGTTTATTTACTGTTTCGGATATGTCTTCGTCCATTATCAGAATCTAAAAGACTTGTAGGAATTCCAAATCAAATTGCGCGTTCTTGATTCTAAAGTTAGCTGAACAACTCTGCATTTATATCGGATACTGAAGATCAACTTCAGAATAACCAAGACTCATTATATTATAATCCTGGGGGAGCGCTAAACCAGTACGATTATACATCGCATGTGGGTGGATGGAAGGTATTGAGGCTCAATTCAGGGAACCGGAGCACAGATCCAATTCCCTAGATCATGAGCCCCTCACCAGCGTCAAGGAACCTCCCTTGAGGGGAACGAAGACTCAGCCTACCCTCGAATTAAATTAAGCCTTTTACATTATAATGATGGATGAACATTAATTGAAAATGTCAATAAACTATATATCTCAGCAGGTGACAGTCCTGAGCACCTTCATCCTCATCTTTTTAGTGCCATCTTGTGGATACATTTCTTTACATTTCTATATTTTTTTATCTTGTATTTCCAGTTCATCTTTATTATTGTTTCATCCCTTACATCTATGCTGTTTCAATGTTTCTTTTAATTATTTAGACCCTTCAAGCGGGAGCCATGAGGCTCTTGAAAGGCTCTTGATCCAAGGAATTAGGTGCATAAGACCGTCCAACTGCGTCCCAACATACGTATGGGATTACCAACAGACCTCTGATTGTCTTTAAGAAGGTACTGGACAGGCGCCTAGAGTCTGTTCCTGACCAGCCGGGCTGTGGATCAAAAGTCGGTTTGTGTGCTGCCAGCAGTAACAGCCTGGTTGTTCAGGCCCTGATCCATCACGAGGCCTTGTCATGAACCAGGCCGCGGGGGCGTTGACCCCAGAAACACTCTCTAGTTATACTCCAGGTATTATATCCTTCTTTTTCTTTTCCAAAATTTATTCCTTCTCATTCCGCAGAAGCTGAATGAACTCTTGGGTTTAGTGCTTATGAGGATAATGATAATAATAATAATAATAATAATAATAATAATTATTATTATTATTATAATAATAATAATGCTTAATAATTATAACTAATAATTAGACATCAATTGCTATTTCTTAACTCGTATTTGATTTGACAAATAATATTAATTAATGTAACACAGTATTTTCTAAGTACATGTTAGAGAACAGAGTTTTTTTGCCATTTATTTAGAATAAAGTTTATGGTAGTGATGAGGCGGTGATTTATGGCAGGTTTAAGGTTGTTCAGCACAGCAGCTGATGTACTGGAAACCCATCACTCCAGAAATTAGAAACTAAATGATGCTTCATTTTCCTGAAAGTTGTGTATATATTAAGCTAGGGTAGGTAATTAACGTGAGCTATGGCAGCACCTTTGTTTGAGTGTTGCTGTTTTCTGTGTTGGGTGGTGTTAAGCTGCAGCTCTTGGCTCCCGTCTCTTAACCATTATTTCTTGTGTTCTCTACTGTGAACCTACTTTTGAAACCATATATGTATGCCTGACTTAACACCCTAGCTCTGAGCGTGTACATTATCACCATACTGACACCCTGGCTCTTAGCGTGTACATTATCACCATACTGACACCCTGGCTCTTAGCGTGTACATTATTATCACCATACTGACACCCTGGCTCTTAGCGTGTACATTATTATCACCATACTGACACCCTGGCTCTTAGCGTGTACATTATCACCATACTGACACCCTGGCTCTTAGCGTGTACATTATTATCACCATACTGACACCCTGGCTCTTAGCGTGTACATTATCACCATACTGACACCCTGGCTCTTAGCGTGTACATTATTATCACCATACGACACCCTGGCTCTTAGCGTGTACATTATCACCATACTGACACCCTGGCTCTTAGCGTGTACATTATTATCACCATACTGACACCCTGGCTCTTAGCGTGTACATTATTATCACCATACTGACACCCTGGCTATTAGCGTGTACATTATTATCACCATACTGACACCCTGGCTCTTAGCGTGTACATTATCTTCACTATATTCACACCCTGATTCTTAGCATGTATACTATCTTCACTGTATTCACACCCTGACTCGTAGCGTGTACATTATCACCACTATCCCTCACGCCGAAGTGCTTTCTTATGTACTTTCTGCTCATTTATACATTTCAAGTGAATCTGTGCTCACAGGTTAGGTTTCCGTCTACCCTGTCTGGTTTCCCGAGTATCTTGGACTTTGTGTTCATATCTCCTCTGATAATTTGAAGTTAAGCTACCTTGCTATTTTCTCGTCGGTCAGCTCTGAGGCCAGAACTGTGCCTAGCAATTTTGGAAATTTTCATATGCTGAGCTAAGCACTTAGGTAGTGAAGGTACTTAGACAGCAGTGATGTATGTGATGTATTAATGAATACATACAACGTAGCTGAAGGTACATAGAGAGCAGTGATGTATGTGTGCTGTGAGAGCCAGGAGAGTTGCTCTTAC